TAAATCAGTCAGTTTTCAATCCAGGGATAATTCAATAACAAAGTCCAGTGTCAAAAACAGTTCAGTATCAGACTTACATCAAATCCAGTAATATCAGTCAATTAGAAGAAATGGAGGAACGGCAATATTTTCCAACAGAAGGAAAGAGAAATACACTCACACTCTCTTCTGAGACTAAGACTAAGACAAACCAGGTTTCTGGCTCCATCTTATGGCCATTTGAGTAACCACACCCAATTACAGTTTTTAGCATGCTCTTAAAGAGACAGTATTAAAATGTCTATCCTGGTTTATATATTTCCATCCCAAATAGCTGTTAGGTTACTTACATTCCTAACAGCTGGCATGGCTGATCCATGTTTGTTTAAAAAGGAAAGTAATGGTGTAATTTCATTGTTGCTATTGTTTACTGGTGACGTAGCATTAATCACCAAAACTGAATAAGAAGCTACTAAAATAATCTCACTGTTAGAGAAGAAATTTAAGATAAAACAGTTAGGAGAAATTAAACAATATCTTGGTTTAAAGATAGCTAGAACTAGGGGAGGATACAAGATCTCACAGGCAGATACAATTAACCAATTACTAAAGAATTTTAAAATTGAACTTTGTAAACCAGCTAAAACACCAATGAGCCAGGAGTTTAGCCACAGTGATGTTCAAAGTCCTGTTTTTGATAAGAACAGCAATTGGTTTGTCTTATCTCAGTAATTGGTCAAGGCCAGATGTAGAATACTGTGTTAATCAATTAGCCAGATTTAATGCTGAGCCAACTGAAAGGCACTGGCAAGCTTCTAAGTGTGTGTTAAGATATCTGAAACAAACAATGCATTATGCATTGTATTTGGAGCCTAAAGATGAACTAAGTCTAACTGCATATGCTGATGCAAGTTTTGCTACAGACATAAATACACCTAAATCTACATCGGGTACTGTAGTATTATTAGGAAATGTGTTGATTGGATGGAGGTCTATTGGACAGAAACATTTAAGTTTGTCAACAATGGAGGTGAATTCTCATGTCTGTCTTTATTATGTACAGATTTAATTTGTTATAAGCAACTATTAATTGATATGGGAATTGATGTAACAGATTCTATTGTTGTTTATGAAGATAACCAATCAGCAATACAGATGGCTTCAAATATTGCTGTTGAGACAAGAATGACACACACAGATTTAAGATATTTAAATGTGAGTCAATGTGTGCAAAGTAAGTTGATTAAGCTTGAATACTGTATGTCAGAAAATAACATCGCAGATCATTTTACAAAAGCCCAAGGCTCTGTAAAGCATAAGGCTTACTATGAGGATTATGGACTTAGAATGTAAGGTTGTATATATTGTCCTACCTAAAAGGGAGAATGTTAGGAATGTAAGTCACCTAACAGTTAGTTGGGTTGGGAAATATATAAACCAGGATAGACATTTCAATACTGTCTCTTTAAGGGAATACTAAAATGGTAATTGGGTGTGGTTCCTTAAACGGCCATAAGATGCAGCCAGAAACCTGAGTTGTTCTGTTGTTCTGGAGAGTGTTGCCATTCCTGCATTGACTGTTGCTGATCCTAGTTGGATTTGATTTAAATCTGTTACTGAACTGTTTTTGATACTGGACTTTGATATTTGGATTATCCCTGGACTGAAAACTGACTACTTTAACCATGAATGATTTGGACTGCTTGTTTTGGACTTTGCTTAAACGTTTATTGGAAATAAAAACCTACATTTTACTATACAGTGTATCTGTGTGCTAGTTGTGTGTTATTCTTCACCACTCTCACTAGGTCTCCCTGTGTGTGCTCATTCTCCTAACGGGGAATTACCTCAACATCTAGCACAGCAGGTGTTGGCAAAATAAGAAACCTCAAGTTCCAATGATGATACACCTTTTGACAACTTCACCTTGGTGACATTGCATATTCACAGGCCATGAGAATATGAGGATTTTAGATAAAGCATTTATTTGTTTTTAGAATATATGCATGTGTATATGTGTGTATTTGTTTGTCTGTGTATCTCTTTGTGTATGCGCTCACATACATGCATTTATAATACTATGTTATTAGATGACTGTTTTAGATTTTGATATGATTTAACTTTAGCATTTTGTGTTGATGGGGAAATTGTAAATATCTGCTATACATAGAAATTCTACTGAGGTCAGTATATTTTGTTTCAGGGGATAAGATTATAGCAACAGCCACCTGAAGTCTTATAAGTAATAGATTAAACAACAAATTGTGGTGAATGGGTTATTCATCAGATATGTATTTTTATTTATTATAAAATGTATATCACATCCTTCAAATGCTTAAAAACCACTCACAGCAGCTAAGTGAACTTGGTCTAGTTGTTAAGCACCACATTGGAAAATGGGAAACTGTGAGTTTGAATCCTGCCTTAGCCATGAAAGCCAGCTGGGTGACTTTAGGCAAATTGCCATCTCTCAATCCAACTCACCTTGTAGGGTTGCTGTTGTGTCAAAAATAGAAGGAGTAAACTGTATTGGATATGTTTGCTGCCTTGAGTTATTCATAAAAATAATAAAGTTGGGATACAAATAAATAAAGTAATACAAATAAAAAAAATAACAGATAGCTTTGCATATTTCCTAGGCTACCAGATATTGGGTGTAGAAACTGTGATGACCATTAGATTAAAAAATAACTCTGTTTGCTGTTATCTAGTTGTCATTCATATTTTAGCAAACAAGGTATGCAAGTTATTGATTTTTGTTAAAGGTGTGGGCCAAGGAGTGGACAACAGAGAGTGCCCAGTGTGGCTTTATAGCTGCAGGCTCTAAGATGGCTTCCTACTCATCTTTTACTGTATCTATAGTACTGGAGGAATTGTTGGACTGAGATACGGTTACTAATGTTCTGCTGAGTCATCAATGAGTCATCTGGAGTTTTGCAGCCCTGATATGATAGACCAATGCCAATTCCAGCAAATTCCAATTTGTTGAATTACAAAATGGCCCAATCTTGCAGTCTACATCTGGTGGCCATAGCCCAATTTAAAATTAAAAATAGCTTTGCCACTGATATTTTGGCATTTATTGGAGGGGACTGTAGGTGGCCTCAAGTCTCTTGTGTTGCTGATCTGAAATAGAATAGTTCCAAAGAAATAAGAGCAATATCATCAAGTCAAACCACAGAGGTATAACAACTTACAGGTATTCTATCATATACAGAATCTTTGTGATCATAACAGTGCATCAAGTTATCGTCTTACTAAGTAGATTTAGAATTAAGTCAATTTCTACTGAAAAAAATTCCCATCAACACATTTCCCCCAACCTTGTAGTCACCAGATGAACTGGAATTCAAATTCTCAACATTTCAGATAACAGATAATCAGAGTTGGAAGGGACCTTGTAGGTCATCAACCCCCCACCCAAGCGGGAAGACCCTACCCCATTTTGACAAATGGCAGTCCAATTTCTTCTTGAAAGTCTCAAGTGATGGCACTCCCACAACTTCCGAGGGCAAGCTGTTCCATTGGTTGATTGTTCTCACTGTCAGAAAGTTTCTCCTTATTTCCAGGTTAAATCTCTCCTTGTTCAGTTTCCATCCATTATTCCTTGTCTGGCCTACAGGTGCTTTAGAAAATAGCGTGACCCCTTCCTCCCTGTGGCAGCCCCTCAAATATTGGAAGACTGCTATCATGTCTCCCCTGACCCTTCTCTTCACCAGACTAGCCAAGCCCAGTTCCTGCAACCGTTCATTGTATGTTTTAGCCTCCAGTCCCCTAAACATCCTGATTGCTCTTCTCTTTCCAGTCAGCATAGGAATTTTAGTAAAAAGACAAATAGGGAATGCATTGTTTCTACTCATATTTGCTTCATCAAATACATTTAGCCTTGTGTAATAAGGAATATTGTTGTACTCGGAGGACACAAAAGTGTTCTTTCTTTGTCAAGCTAGAAACCATTTCCTTAATGAGCTGAACAATTTTCTCACTAGTTTCAGAGCAAACTTAAGAATCTTAAAGCACAGAAACAGGAATGACTGTGGGTGAGCGAGCAGCTGTTTGTGGGTGTTGATTCTGTAGGTCCATAGAAAATAGTCCCCAAGCTAGCTTGATTTAAAAATGCAATTCATCCTGAAGATGTGTGCTCATTTAAAGAACACCCCATTGTTAACTCATGTCCTTGCAGCTGAACTAATTTCCAAAAATAAAAACTTTACTTGGCAGACAATGTGGTTTTTTTTTTTGTTAAGAATAGAAAGTTGCATTGGTAAATAGTAACACATTGAGCTAACAAATCAACATACTGATGTAATATAAAAAGTTAGATTATGCAACAGAGGGTAGGTATAGCAATAGCACTTAGACTTATATACCATTCCATAGTGCTTTACAGTATTCTCTGAGAGGTTTACAATATCAGCATATTGCTCCCAACAATTCTCATTCTACTGACCTTGGAAGGATGGACAGCTGAGTTAACCTTCAACTAGTCAGGATAGAACTGTCTGTGGGCAAAGTTAGCCTGCAGTACTTCATTCTAACCACTGCACCACCACAGCTCCTTAGGTATGGAAAACAAACAACAGCAGTGTAGAAATATCCATTTGTCACACCTACAGTAAGCACATGGACCAGGGCAGGGGAGATCCCACCATGGTGCCTCTATTCTCTATGTATCTATACGACATGCTAATGGGATCCAATAAAATCCATCATAGGTAATGACTACAAGTAGAGAAGTGAAGGCATGTATTTTATACCTCCCACTCAGTATGGAACTATGGCTGACCTACATGTGATGTGATATAACCACTTTTACTCTGATGTAATTAAATTTTCCAAACCAGTACAGTACAGAGGATAGAATCTAGTCTAATATTTATGTTGAATCATATTGGTTAACTCAACTTTATCATACGTGACTATTATACTTCAAAAAGGCAGTTTTACATCTGTATTTGATAACATTATTTCATGTTACTCTTCTAAACTGTATGTGAATGCATTGATATTGTTATTTACAGAAATTCAGAAAGAAAAACCTGAGAAATACGAAAAGCCTAAAAAAGTAGAGAAGACCAAGAAGCTTGAAAAAGTAGAAAAACCTCAAAAAAGGGAACTTACTAAAGGTGAGAAATAACCACTGATCATAAACTTGATAATCAAGTTAATCTGTGATGGTTTTTTGACATAGTAAAGTGTATAATCCACTGCTGAAGTTTAAGGGACAAAAACCAGAATGGGACAACTTGCCATAGTCAACTCTCCATGGGACAACTTGCTGTGGGATAATTTAATAATTCAACTTAATTATTTCAAATAAACAAAAAGATATTTTAATTATTGCCATTCACATTTCATTCTGTCCCTCCTTTTGCATACTTTCTTTAATGATTCTAGTCCACCATTTCTTTGATATTAGTGTAACTCTTGTCCCACAGGAAGTTGTCCCATGGCAAGTTGACTGTGGTGACTTAGCTTGGATGAATTGTCATAGACCCAATCAAAACAGTACTAGAACAGTTTCTGCTCTTTTCAGAAATGTGAATTGTCAGTTTTTCCAACAGATGCTCAGATAATATGAATCTAACAAGATTTGGCAGCTCTTTGCTTCCTAACAAAATGGAAAAATCCAACCATATCACCATTGCAAGAGGAAAAAATAAACTCCCTCTTTCTCAACTACAGTGTTATGAAGCCGATAGAGAGCTTGTATCAACAGCAAAGGAACAATATCTGGTTTTAATTTCTAATCAAAGAAAGAACTGAGTCAGGAAATGCAAAAACAATAACAAGATGAGATTTAGAGGAAGGATTATTAGCTTTCTGATGAATGTCTGTCATTGGATGATTAGAATACATTCACATTCCTGAATATCTTCCAATCATTTACATTCTGTTAGTCAGAATTAGAAGCAAATTTCTGGTCTTCTTTGCCTTGGGTTTTGGAAAAATTTAAATCTAACTTTTGGTTTGAACTTGTGGTTCTGTGCTGCTGCAACTCTACCCACAGATACCAATTTCTATAGAGAATGGCATATTAATGTTCACTTCAATAAATGGCAAAGCTTACTGGAGCTCCTTCTTTAATAAAAATTCCAACTTTTGGAATCAGACTTTAGTTGATTTATTTGGAAATATATTGATCATAGAGCCACCTTTTTGTACTAATTGATACTGTGACAGTACTGAGGTACATTTCATAAACCAATAAATTGAATGAGAAATAAGGAGTAACTTCTGTGAATAGGATTTCTATAGAAATCCTGAACATACTACGGTGGGTGTGGCCAGCTCACATCACTTGTGTGATCAAATGCCGTTTTTGCTAGTAGTTTGTTTTGCAAGCCCTCTTCCAGTAAAAACAGAGCTCATGAGGGCTGCGCGCAGCCCTCCTGGGCTCCATTTTTGGCTGCGACAGCCTCCTGCAGCCCTCTGCCAGTAAAAATGGAGCTCAGGAGGGCCAGGTGTGGCCCTCCTGGGCTCATTTTCTCTGCAGAGGCACCATAGGCCAGTACTTAGGCCAGGATGACTCTGCGGGCCAGAATTAAGCATCCTGTCAGCTGGATGAGACCTGCGAGCCTTGAGTTTAACACCCCTGTACTACATGATCATGAACAGAAGGGAAAGTGTAGCAGAGTAATGTAGCAAAATAAGACCAATGTCAACAGTTATTCAGAAAATGTAATTGCACCATTTTTATAAGATGACATTTTGAATTGTATATCTAAATATATTTATTTGCTTATAGTGATACTCAAAGAAAAATCTGAAAGACATGAAAAAGTTGAAAAAAGAGAAAAACCTGAAAAGAAAAGCAAAGATGAACGACCTGGAAAGATGGAAAAGAAAGAAAAAGCTATAGGTAATTATAATTTTCATGAATCCTGAAGATGAACAATTCAAATTGTAATATATGAAACAGCCCTAGGAGATAGGGAGAAAATATTCCATTCCCCAAATCACTGCTTGTTGATAAATGGAACATAAAGCTAAATTTGACTTTCATTTTTATTTCATTGTATTTCTCAGGAATCAGTTAAAATCCACTACTTAAAACAGGACCAATCCCTTTTTCTAACCAAGATTTCCTAGACAAGATATATTCTCTTAAGATGAATTCTTTCATTCTTCTGTTATTCTACTTTATGTAGGAAATTATTACTTTCATTTGTGGAAAAACAGTGGGTGATTTATATCACTTTCAGTTTTTAAAACCCTAACATTTTATCTGATTAGTTACAAGCTATTGAAATTTGAGGAAAGGCAGTGAGTGACAGAAGAAAAGAAGATAGGTTTTAATTAAAGAAGATAACAAACCATTATGTTGTAGCATACTAAGCGGGCTTACAAAAGACTAATTCATTTGGCGATTGCCAAATTGTTTATAGACAGTATCATACTCAGTGTTAATTCCTTTATTCTTTAGAGACTTGGATCACCAAATTTCAACTTGTTGCTTATTGACAGGCCTTTTTGGGCACCTCACTGTCCTTGCACCACAATAATATAGTTTCCTGTTCAATATTATTGAATAGTAATATTATTCTCATGATTTTTGCAAAGATACTTAGAGGAAAATGTTCCCACCATATTTAAAAAAGTGCAACAATATGTTTCCATATTTGTTGAGGTCTTAAATAAAAGTTATGGTGATAAATGAATATCCAGTTCAAGAGAAATCAGAATCAGTATATTACATCAGTTGTGACTGTATTTAATGAGTAGATCTACAAGTATGCTACATTTTTCCATTCTCTCCTTTCCCTCTTCCCTACACAGCCCCGAAAATCTGTTTCATAGGATCCCAAGTCCCCAAAGTAGAATTAGGGGTGCTGAAGTCTGCAGGGAAAGAGTAAATCCATTCCACTGGCAGATATCTTTTCTTCAGCAGATAAACACAAATTGCTTCTACCCATTATGATTACCCCATGAAATTGTCATGAAAATGATGGTGCTTTCCCAGGCACAAAACCCACTTGTATACTACTTTGAAAGTTGATGGATGATAATAAAAAGCTAATTATATTGTACTTGCCTGCAAAGAGAATGAATCGCTTAAGGCAAGAGGACATATGGTATTTGTAGGAGCACTTATGGTCATTTTTCATTGTAGTGTATTGAATTTAATGTTTCCTTATGGCACAATCATGACCAATTGGGGCTAAGGGTCATATATGGCAGGAAATTGAACTATTGACTGACATAGCTATTATTTGTGTGTATCATTTCAGTTGATAAACCAAGTTTTAAGAGGATTTTCCATGGAATTAGCACTGCAGGAAGGGATTTTATATAGATATGCACCTGCATATTTATAACAGCTCCACAATCATTCACATTTCTCTTATGGTTATCTTAAAATGTAAATGTCTTTATTTAAAAGCTGGCCATTTTGAAATCTTACAAGTGCATTAAAATATGAAAAAGTTCTAGTGGCAATTAAGAAAAGGACAAAGAATCTGAACAAATGTGGTGTCAAAAAGCCCTAACCCTATACCATTTCAGTCAGCCATTTGTTTGAAATGGTATAGGGCAGGGCTGTCAAATTTGGGGCCCACAGGCCAGATGCATTATAAGCTGGCCATGCCCATGCCCAGTTTAGCGAAGGGGAAAAAAAGTCACGATATGACATGTGACGCTGCCATGATTCTGCGAGTTTGATACCCCTGGTATCCTCAAGCAGGGTTACCTGTTTGAACAGGTGGTTGGACTAGAAGGCCCCCAAGGTCCCTTCCAACTCTGTTATTCTGTTAAATCTCACAATTTAATAAGCTGTGAGTGAAGATGAAACAGTTAAAGCTGAGTTTATATTCTTACCCCATTCCTGAACAGATATTTCAGATGTCAGCTTTTTTAAACAACAACACGCGCCTCTTTCAATATTCTTTAAAAACCAAAAGTAAATTAAGGATTTATGTTTGGTGGCAGAATTATGGAAATTTGCAGAAGCCAACAAAAGGTCTAGATCAGGGGTAGTCAACCTTTTTATACCTACCCCCCACTTTTGTATCTCTGTTAGTAGTAAAATTTTCTCTAACCGCCCACTGGTTCCACAGTAATGGTGATTTATAAAGTAGGGGACAAAACCCCTATTGCCCACCATGAAACCTGGAATGCCTACTAGTGGGCGGTAGGGACCAGGTTGACTACCACTGGTCTAGTTGCTGCTTAGGCTGGCTCTGATGATTATTTATTAGTTAGCTTTGAAACCATATGCTTGGCTCTTCTCTATTGCTACCAGTAGTTCCCTGGTTCCTCTCCAGATGGAGAGAAGATACTTTGGAAAGTAGTTTTTTTTTTTTAATTAGCAGGTGAATTTCAGACATTAGCTCCCAGTGCTTCAAGAAACCAATTGAACAAATAGAAATCTGAGGCTGCTAGATTAGAATATTTAATGGTGTACTTCAAATACCTCCTCCTAAATCCAAACCAAGTTTTTATTTTGAGGAGAGGAAGTGCGTGTGAGAGAAATAATTTCCTAGGTACACCAGAAGAGAAAAAGCCTTAAAGTGATACTAATCATGTTGTTGGGCTTTGTAGAAATGAAGTTCAAACATTAAGGAGGCCATTTGTATAGTACTTGCTTTTTTATGCCAGAAGGAAAAATAAGGTCCCCTTGTTTGTACACATTTATATAGTGTTTATTTTTATTGATTGATTGATTTTTTTTATGCTGCCCATCTCCTCTATAAGCAATGTGTTCAGATCTCAATACATCGTTGTTTTGCTCTTTTGTCTTAAATCCTCTCTGGTACGACTGCTTACCTTGCAGTTCACCTCCCAGCAACTACAAATGAAGGCAGCAAATGAAAGCAGCAGCAGCAGCTGCAGCAGTAATTTTTCTTGTAGTTGGGAGATGTGGGATGCTGTCATGTGGATGAGTACTGGGCAGTGGCTCATTCCTTATATAATAAGTAATTTGTTATTGAATTTATAACTTCTCTTTCTCCCAAAAGGTTAAAATGGCTTAAGGTGACTTCCATAATTATATCAGCAACAACCACCCTATTAATTAGGTTGGGTTGAGAGAAGATGACCCAAAGTAATCCTGTGAATTCAGTGATTGATCTTAGAGCAGTACTTTAAGCGATATATTATACAGGCTCTCTGCATATCTGGAGACGTACAGTATATCTATATACCCAGTCCTCTATTCCCATTTAGAGTATGCAACATCAAGCTGCACAAAAAATAAGAAATAGTTAGCAAAAGAGATAGGTAGGTAGGTAGGTAGGTAGGTAGATAGATAGATAGATAGATAGATAGATAGATAGATAGATAGATAGTGTCAAGTGTGCCTCATTCAAAACCCAAGAAAGAAATTCTTCAACTCTATTGATGTAGAGAAAAAGTACTTTTACTGAGTTTGAAATGAGAGGAACAAAAGAAAGCAAGATCTGGAGCAAATAGGCACAAATATTACATAATGAAAGTTATCCCAAGTTCCATCCCCCAAGAGTCCAGACTAGTCTTCCAATCTGAGGTGTTTATAATGTCATGTGCGGTACATCTTCATGTGATTTCTCACTCATCTGGTATGCCAAGACGGTTGACCTTGGCCTAGTAGAGATAAGTCTATGCAGATGTGCAGTAAGTGAGAAAACATCCCCTCCTTTTTAGTTCACTCTCCAGCATCCTTCCCCTCCCAAATACTAAAATTACCCCTCCCCCCATTTCTATGGCAGCCAACAGGAAGCAAGCAGCAAAAGATGTCAAGAAAGCTTTGTAGAGGCTGACTGACAGACAGGCAAGCAGGCAGGCAGGCAGGCAGGCTGATGATAGAAAAAAAATGATAACAAGTATGAAAAGGAAATATATAAACTCTACATTTGACCAGCTTTAGTTTAACAACCTTTGGAATTAATGGGCAAAATCTACTAAAGACGGATATGCTGTGCTAGAATATCAGCAACAATTGAGGAAATGTGGAACTAGGGCATTGGGGAGATCAGCAGGCTATTGGGGTTCACTTGGGGTTGCTAAGAGGAAGAGGAGAGAGATGGAATAACACATTCTTCTTTGATTGCCATTTTCCACACCTACTTAAGCTGAAGACAGTTTGGTGTATTGCTTAAGGCATCAGGCTGGAGACTGGGAGATCACAAGTTCAAGTCCTGCCGAAGGCACAAAGCCTGCTTAAGTCAATCTTAGCCCAGGCAGCAGACAGGGGCAAGCCACTTCCAAAAACATTGGCAAGAAAGCTGCATTAGCTTCTCCAGGCAGTCGCCAGGAGTCAACATTGTCAATACTGACTTGAAGACACAAACACACAAACATGCAGGCACCCACAACCCCACCCCCCAAATACAAATATTTTGCCTTTATAGCCTACTTGGAATGGGTTTCATATACTCCATGTATAGTGCATGTCCATTCACATAATTACATGGTATAATGTCATATTATGTTATAGTATTATACAATTATTATACATTTCATTCTAATAACAAGAATGTAATGGGCAGTAATATGGCTAAGATGTTCTAAGAAGTTCTACACTTCACTGACATATCAACTTTTTGTTTCATTATTATTTTCAAAGATCTGTTAATGAAATATAATTTTCTCTTATTGTTGATTTTTCTATATTCTATTCTTGTTCTATAAAGGGGCCACATTTATACTATATTTTTAAAAATGTTTCAGTATCTTCCAAGGAGAAGCCTGCAAAACAAGAGAAAAAGAAAGCAGTTCCTTCCCCAAAAGGTAATTTTATTAATTTTACTCTACTGAGAAATAATTCAAGGAGCAGCACATTTTTAATGGGAGGGGGGGAGAACTGAATGCAGAATGCTCCCTCCCATGTCAGTCTGTTGACAAGGGAGTTTTCCCATATAACTGCTATTGAAATGGCACAAGAATGTGTGAGTCCAGCTATCTTCTGTATGATGTCTGTCAAGTTGCATATCCTCTCTTGAGCCTTTTATTTTGGGTTTTCTTCTCCAAGAATTTCAAAGGATGAACTCTGATGAAATACTGTAGGAATGATTTAACATTAAGATGTCTTTATTCAAAGAGCTGTTATTCTTTCATTACCCATATTTGTTTTTTTGTCATAATAAGCCTGTGAAACTTTAGCATGTGACAAAACTACCATGCACAAATTTTACTAGGTAGGTTCCTCTTTGCAGTCAGAAGCAAGACATTTGCCTATTTGTATCCTACTTTTATTATTTTTTATAAATACCTCTGGATGATGAACATATACAACTCATTTCCTATTGTCCCCACAATTACAACCCTATGGGGTGAGTTAGGCTGAGAGAGAGAGCGACTGGCCCAAGGTCATCCAGCCAGCTTTCATGGCTAAGGTGGCACTAGAACTCACAGTCACCCCGTTCTAGCCTAGTGTAACTGATGGGGATTTTAAGAAGTGGTAATAGTGATGGTTGTTTTCTCCAAAATTAGTGAAAATGAAAAGTTTGTAACAAACCTTTTACTTGAGTATTACTTTTTGATTAAGTGAGACTCAGGCTATTTCTGAGGTTGTTTGTATTGCTTTGTATGTGACTTCCATCACATCTAAATATAGAGCTTCACTTTGTGCTCTATTATTTACCACATCAACTTTTTTATTCCTCTATTACAAAGATCTCAGTTTATTTTACAGCTGGGGAAAAAAAAGAAGCTGGGATAACATTAAATTTCTACACACCTTGTAAGGTAGAAGTTCTGAGAGAGGAAGTTTGCAATTCCTTTTATTAGCATTGTGTTTTTAAATAAGCTTTGGGAGAAAATACAAAGGGATCTATATGTTTTTAATTGGTTTCATTTTCTTCACTCTTCATATGTGTGTAAGGGTAGGATAAAAACTACCCTGAAAGTTTTTATATTTAGGTACTTACTATCTCATATTCCAGTTAAATTGGATATCTTTCACGTCTCTACTGAAAAGTAATTTTCATTGAATTCAGTAGGGCTTATTCCAAAGAAAGTGGATGCAAAAATCCCATTGAACTTAGATGTCTAACTTTCCCAATATAAGCAGAATAATTCCTAAGGCCTAATTGAGGAGGAAAAATAAATTTATCTGATTTCAGCAGTCCACATCCTAAAGGAAACTGCATAAAAATAATTGCTCTTGAAATGTTCTGTCTGTTCTGTCACAAAGAACACTTGTGATGCTATTCAGCATTGGAGCTGTTCTAGTTAACTCTGGTGATAATGAAACTATTATCTATTATCAAGAGAGATGATTTTGATGTTGGTTATATATTGGAGAGTGCTTGAAAAATAAGTTCCATCATTTTGAACTGAACTCAGAAACTCTAAACAATTGTTTCTGACCTTGCCATTGCTTCACTGTGGCTGAATAGGCTTGTTTTTCTTAGTGATTCATTGGAACATTAGCATAGAAGCCATGTAGCACAGAGGTTAAAATGCAGTATTGCAGGCTAATTCTGCTCACTGCCAGTAGTTTGATTCCTACTAGCTCAAGGTCACTTAGTCTTCCATCTGTCCAGGGTCACTAAAATGAGAATCCAGATTATTGGGGGCAATATGCTGACTCTGTAAACCACTTAGAGAGGACTATAAAGCACTATGAAGTGGTATATAAGTCTAAGTGCTATTACTATTGTGGCATCACTTTTATTTGTAAGCCTTCCAGAATGGTTTTGCAGAGTGATATGGGTGGCATATAAATTTAATACATAAATAAATTGTGTGCAAGTTGTGGTCTCCAAATTGCCTTTAAAGACAGCTCAGGGTAAATGGTGTTAGAATAAGCTCTGCAAGGGGTCCCCTTCTCTGACAAAGGTTAGAACTTGAAAGTTACTCTGCTGATTACTGTGATTTGCTTCTCCGTGTTGAGGTACCAAATTTCTCATCTTTACTACTACAATTCTCCAAGGGCCAAGAATTATTTTATTAACCATGCCTCTCTATTCTGTCAATTTGGCTTAATCGTGATTACACTCTCCTGCAGACACTCCTACATCTTTAATTAATGATGTAAACTCATTAACGTAAATGTTTTCTTCCCCTGCTGCATATGAGTAGTATGAGTAGTAAACAAGAACTTTATAATAAAAGTAGTATGGAGAATGCTCTGAAAAATCTCAGGTGATGTGGGAAGTCTTAATTTGTTCCTGAGACAGAGATTGAGACTCATCTATTGAGACTCATCTATTCTCTTTCATTTAAAACAGGCTTTTGCTTTTCCATAGCAGAAATAACAGTTCTGTAATTTTACGCCCGCTTGCAAATATAGTATACATTTATTTTGCACATACATGTTCTTTGGTCAACTAGGGAAAAAATTGAGATGATGTAGATAATCTCAGTTCTTCTCTTCTTTGTCTCTCTGTATTGATAGGAATAGTCTGCAGGAGAACTGTAGCTTTATGTTTGTTTTACCTAGTTACATCATTCTATAGTTCTCAGAACTCAGATCATTCTTATAGATAAGTTTTCTTTTTAAAATAGAGCACTTGCAAATGATTTGTGTATATTAAGATTGTCATTATGTAAATACTGTGATTGTCTGTTGAATCAAATTACTCTATATTACTCCACAGTTTGTAATTTGCACCAAACATACCAGGATAACTTATTTGTAAATCATCACAAAACAATTACATACATTTATGTCTGCCATTGAAAACCCATTAAAACAAATATGTCTTGAGCCATCTATATTGTTAGGTGGCAGATGATTGATGTGATTACATTAGTGTTCTGCATCTCATTCTGCATTTTAAAGGATAATGGAATTAAACAACAAAATTACCTGTAAAGAAAAACCTTTTTCAAAGAAATTAAGGATCATGCATCTTAGTATACTCTTACATATTATATAAAGTGCTGGTAAAGTAATATTAATATCTTTAGTGAGGATTACATGAATTTTTGCTATTTAACTCTTCAAATTAAATCCAGAGTAGCATTCCGTATGTATGGGATTCCTAGTCCACATCAATTACTTTTTCTTAAATGAACAAATTAATATTTGTGTTTTATAGATTGATTGGTAAAACAAGATCATTTTCTCATTTTAGTAACAGAAAAAATGAAAACTGAACAGCAAGAAAGGATGGAAAAAAAAGTTGTCACAAAAGGTATTTCTTTAGTCATTAATAATATTCAGGAGTGAACTTCTTTAACTTCTTTAATCATATTGCAAGAACAGGAATGCAAAGGCCAAATCACTCCAGGAGGCTATTACTAAAATAATGCTAAAACCAGCAAGATTTAAACATTAGTATGAACCACATCAGATATGGAATTCAACTCCCCAAATTCTCAGCAATAATTGTGAGTTCTGTGAGTTGAAGTTTACATATCTGGATATGGCCGAGTTGGAAAATCCTTGTCTAAACATTACTTTATTCTTCTATTGTGCAGAATTTAAATCTTAAGATTAATTGTTGCTGTTAAATATTAAGATATCTAAGAATTGTTTGGATGTCTTACCATTTTGCTATTGTCATACTATTGTTTTTTTTACTTAGAAAACTAGATAAATGATATTTCATTAAATACAGGTGTGTGTGTCCGAGTGCAAGTAAAAAAACAACAACTAGGCATTATTCTCTAGAAATTACTTTTTAAAAATCTGTAGACTTTTGAGCTAAGAATTAGGTCCTGTTTAACCAGTGTGCTTAAAACAGTTGTTCTGCAGTTTATGTTTTCCACTGATGGTTAATAATGACACTGTGGTCTCCTAAAACCTCATAAGCTGAACTGAAGATATTTTTAATGCCATATGGCAGGGATTTGTGAAAAAAGTGACTTTTGAACAGTGACTTTTTTGAAAAGTGACTTTTTTTTTGCATGCAGATAAAAAGAGCATCCAAGTTGAAGAAAAGATTAAAAAAGATGTAAAAGAAAAAAAACCTGAGGCCAAGGCACCTGAAAGACTAAAGACCAAAGAAATCAAAGCACCGGAAGTTACAACACCAAAAGCCAAGGAAAAAAAGGAGACTGCCTTGGCAGTCAGAGAAAAAATCGATCATAAAGGTAAACAATATCAGGAGGAGGTCACCAAGAAATGGTGAAGTGCAGGAAGGAATTCAGATTCCCTGTTTTAGAAAGAATTTATCCATAATTAGGAGAAGGGGAGGGTGTCTTCCTTTTGGATCACTGATCTCTATTTTTTTTTTAACTAAGAATTCTTTTAGGAACAAATTTCACTACAAAAGCATTTTCAGCATAAGAACAAAGATGTGAAATCTCTTTACTTTGTCCAACAGAAGGAATAGCAACTCTTAGGCCCCATCTAGTGAATGCTTCACATTCTTAAATCTAACTGGAGAATTTGTCAGGAATTGGAATGAGAAAGGGATAAAGGTAGGCAGAATTTGGGGAACATAGATTTTGAGATCTATGCAATTTATATCTCTTCCTACATTTTGTTCATTAAATGAGGAAAAATGGAGGCATGGGGAGGATTGACCTCTCTGAATGCTTTTGACATCATCAGCCAGTCAGCCAATCATTTTGCTGGCTCTTCTGTGAGATGTATGTTTCTGGCATGTATATTTCTTTTTTCAAATCTATCCATCTATTCCTCATGTACCAGTTTCAGGGCTGTTATCAGGTGGGTTAAAATAGTGGTTCCCAACTGCCAGGCCATGGCCTACCACTGGGCCTTGAACCAATTTGAACCAGACTGTGAAAATGGTGGAGGAGTGTGCTCGTGAGCAGCGGGTGAGCTCATGTGCTCCAATTGTACCCCCCCACACAAAACCGTTCCCTCTTCCCCACCCACCAGTCCACAAAGGCAGAAAGGTTGTGGAACTCTGGGTTAAAAGAAACATATATAACAAGGGGATAAATCCAAAATATAATAAAAAAGACTTAATTAACTTTGTTTCACTCCAGTGCCGAGAGGAATCCTTGAGGGTAAGAGTCTTATAGATTCTAAAAATCTATCTAGCTCAGTAAAAAAAAAACCCACAGCAGCTAGTTGAATGCAACAGGAAACCTATAGGTAGGGACACAACTAACATTTAGTGCCAGCTTTGGACTCATCTAAACTTCTTTCCTTCTCTCTAAGATGGATATCTTTACTTGTCCACTTCCACCCAACACATTCCATTTTCTCATTCTTGCTTGTGGTTCCAGCCAACCATTCTCTTTTTAAGAAATATTACAATTCATAGCCTCTAATGTTCATTTCCTCATCTTTGTAGTTAGCTAACCAGCTTTTGGTGAGTAGCATGGAGAGTCAATCCCAAATGAGCTGTTTTCAAATTCACTTGAACTTCCTTGCCCTTTGAAATTCCATTCCACATTGTTGTTTTCTTTTTCTTCTTCAAATGTTGTACCTCTCCCAAGTCTGCTGATGTTTTTGTTTTAAGCACAGATAGTGGCATTTTGAAAACATCAGGATTCACATGGGGAAATGATAGACAATACAGTTATTATTAGCATTTAGGATAGATCTTTTTAATGACTTACAGAATTTTGAAAAATTCATACAAATCTTCAATTTGAGCTGCGTAAGATTTTTGTAGGCTTACCCCCCCCTCCTTTCTTTTTTTCTTTTTTCTTTTTAGAGGGAGAGGGAAATGAAAGTCTTCCTATTCACTTCCATGCTGTGCAAAAATATAGTGATTTTAAATCTATTTATGGTTAGGCCCCATAATCTGAGTTATTTCTTAGAAATTATTAGGATTATCTCTTGAGGAAAAAGGTATGCATGTAACTAAAATGACAGCACACATCAATTTTTTAAACTCTTCTTATTCATTTGAAAGACTATACAACATTTTAACATATCTAAGTTAAGAACATTTGTGCATCATCTTTAATTTTCAAGTCCTCTTATTTAAATCAATTTTTTGAGACAACTAAACCTGTAAAGAATGGTTTTTTTAACCAGGCCCACATGTGCAGAGTTTGAGCTAACTACTTTATTATAGTCTGCCTATAATACAGGAATCTCCCTAGTCTAGCAGTTCTTTCATAGGAATAATTACATAAGTCTCCAAGGAATTCAGGGAGGGCTAGTTCTGGCCTTTTTATAATTACATAGTGACTCTAGTCTAGCCCCATGCTTTAGCCTTCCTCCCTGCCAGTTTGGTTGCTTCCCAAAACATGTAAACAATTCACCCCCAAATTTGTGTTAAAATTCTTGGGCTTTTCATTTGGGTTTTTATTCTTTTATGCATGTTTCTGCATACCTTTCCTGGCATTTGTATTTCTCCAACCAATATCTCATAATATTATGTGTTTATGTGCATATTTATTCCAATAAACACATTTTTGTGCTCATTATTACCTAATATATGCATTTTATGTCTTTTTATTTCCTTGCGAATTTGCATGGCATTCAGAACAGTGTTAGTTATATCCAGTAAGCTTGAAGGGTGTGAATATTGTAAATTGTATAAAAATTAGATTGAAAAAATATATGTTCCAATTAATTGAATATGGATATTATTCTTTAGCCATAGCAGATTGGGGGGGCGGGAATCAAAATTTAGATTAAAAAAAACTTTGAACTTTAGCATTACTATTCCTTCATATTCGTTTTTTTGACCTGTTCAATCATTTCTGTCTTTTTGACAGATGTGCCATATAGAAATTGGGAGCACTGGTGGTGAGCTCATATCTGAAGAGATTGCTCTCATTACTCTCTGAAGGAGCTTTCAATTTGAGTAACATGTACTGAGCTGACAAAAGGCTGATAGGGTTATGGAAGGAAGATTGTATGAACTTAATATTTCTTCCTTTGGCAGAGCAACCCTGAGTGCAAGATTGCCCTACAAGCTGCAACCCATCAGAACAAAAATGAAAATAGCGAGATTTTTGCATTTTCTTGCTATGTCACTTCTGCATAATAAAAATGAGATTTCCTTGCTCTAGATGTAGAGAAAGAGGGGACCATTTGGCTCCCAAATCCTTTCCCAGACATTTTCCACTCTGTTGCTTCAGATTTTGTGTTTCTCTGAATTTCAGTCATCATTTTTTTTTAAAAAAAATCTATTAATCTTCTTTAAATCTGCACTTTATGATAAAATAGAGTTAGACGTGTTTTTATCAGATAATGCAGCTATAAATATGAGGAAAATATAGACACATATATTTAAATATGTGTTAATGTATGCATTTTGATGGAAAGCTTTAAAGATATTTTTGGCAGAATGGATACATGAAAATTTGCACATGAAATAGTGATGAACTATACTGTATTGATTTTTTTTCATCCCTAGTGGTAATCCATCAGATCAATGTCTCATGCAAACTACAGTGCAGGTACCATAGTTTTATAGATATGACCAAAGCAAAGGTCCTGGGTCTTATCTTATCCAGTTTGTGTTGGAGAAAAAAATATATTTTTGATAGCTAGAATGAGGTATAAAGCTGATAGTCTTCAGAACCAGGTCTTTTACCAATTCTAGTATTTCAATGGAAGACAAATCCTAAAGGTGAACAAAAATTGGTTGGTTTCATAGCTGTCCTTTCATCCTTCCCCCCCTCTGCCCCCCCCCAAAGATCTGGAAATGTAATTCGTGGTATAATAGATTTAAAAACAATTCAATTGAAGTATACGGTGTAAAGTTTTTAAATTGATAACTGACACACATGTGTCAAAAGCATAAGCCAACCCACATTAACTTTTCTGACTGGGTTTAAAAAAAAAAAAGCCAGGAGGTCATGTGAATTTTCCAAAGCTATCCAGAAAGAAACTGCAAAGCAAAACTAGACAACGTGCAAATTATATAACTATTGCAAGTAGTGATTTAAAAATAATAATTTTAAGCTATTAGGATTATGTTCGTGATTTGAAAACCTAATGTTTTTCCCCCCAATTCCTTTGATTTTTTTTTTTTAATTTGTTCATCTTGGACCGTGGTTCAGTACTGACCTCCATAACCAAGCATTGCCTGCCAAGGAGTAGGAGCTTTCAACAACAAAAACACTGGGGGAGGAAGGATTACATATCCTCTTCTGTACCAGTTGATCATAATGCAGAGTGGCCCTTTGTGTGCTTCCAGGGAAGTCAGGAAAATCACAGATTGGAGCTGGGCAATGCAACTTGTGCGTTATCTAATTTAGACCTCAGTGGAATCACAGATGATGTTTTCATGCATCTCTGTTCCAGATGAATATCAGAGGTGGCAATTCACAAAGGTTAAAATCCAGTTCTTTCCAGTGGAATTAGTAGAAAAGTATTGCTTATGGAAATGGTCTGTGAAGAGGCCAGAAAGGCAAACTTGACCTCAATTCTTCAGCAAGAGACCAACATTTTCCATCTGTTGAATGTCGTGGCTTTTATTTTGTAGCAGCTGCAGATAAATTAAAAATAAACTTAATACATTTTATTTAATGAAATAAGAAAATAAATTAGAATCGATAAATCATTTTCTGCAGCACAGATTTATCATGCAGTTAATTTTGTTCTGCCTCCAAATGTTTTAATTTTAAATGGTCTGCAAACTCTTTTTATAATTGGATCACAAATGCTGCCCCAAGGAAAGGGGAAATGTTTATTTTTGTGGAACAGAAAACTAAAATTATGCTGAAATGACCACTACAAGCTCTGCTGACAGTCCAATGGCCATTGCTGTTTTCAAAATTGTCAAATAGCCCTGCCAGTGACTAGAGACAAGAACTTAGAAGTGGTGCAAGGAACTTGGCCCTAGTGAAAGAAAAAAAAATGTATCTGAGACCTGAGGGTAGTAAATCTGAAAGTTGTCTTTTAGTACAAATACTTTGTGCCAAATGGAAATTTATCTTCTGAATGCAAATTATTTATAGGAGTCATATTATCACAGAAGTTAATTCTTTTGGATTTATGGACTTCTGCATGTATGATTATGTTGCATCAATTATTTTGCAGATGTCTATTTTGTACATGCAGATTTACTTTGTGTGCTTTTTTTTAAATGTGCTTTTTAAAATGAACATGAGAGCCAGTTTGATGTAATGGGTAAGACACCAGGTTAGAAACTGGGAGATTGTGAGTTGTAGCCTGCCTTAGATATGAAGCCAGCCATGTGACTTTGGGCTAGTCCTTCTCAGCCCTAGGGTAGAAGAAGAAGCAGAAGAAGAAACATAGAACAATAAAATTGGAAAAGACCTTCGAGGTCTTCTGGTCCAATGTCTCTTTCGGGAAACCTTTCGTGATGGAGCATCGACAACTTCTGAAGGCAACCTGTTCCATTGGTTGAGTGCTTTCACCATTATGAAATTTCTCCTTAGTTCTAGGTTGCTTCTCTCCTTGGTTAGCTTCCAACCATTGTTTCAAGAAAAAGGAGGAGGAGGAGGAGGAGGAGGAGGAGGAGGAGGAGGAGGAGGAGGAGGAGGAAGAAGAAGAAGAAGAAGAAGAAGAAGAAGAAGAAGAAGAAGAAGAAGAAGAAGAAGAAGAAGAAGAAGAAGAAGAAGAAGAAGAAGAAGAAGAAGAAGAAGAAGAAGAGTGGGAAGGGGAGGTAGAGGTAGAGGAGGAGGAGGATATTTGATGCACTGGCTTTCAAATTTAAACACTGTTTCTTTATTAAAATAATTGTGTGTAAGCATCCTCTGAAGTGCAGTTGACACAACTGACACATAGAATCCTGAAGTTTATTTAACACTTCTTTCCGCATTTTAGCCTATATATAATTTTTTATAGGCTACTGTTTAATCGATAGTCACTGTTTAATTGATAAATTGCATAAATTTGCTCAAGGTAGAGTTCAGCGGTTCTCAACCTGTGGTCTGTGGACCCCTGAAGGCAGCGCAATGTCATCATGGGGTCCACGAAGGCTTGAAGAAATGTAATGATTTAAATCTTGCGTTAAATTTTGGTGGGGTCTGTAGACATGGTCCATGGCCACAAAAGGTAAGGGGACCATGGCGAAGAAAAGGTTGAGAACCACTGGTCTTATTCTCTATCTTTACTTGTCCATTGATATTTTTTTAAGATTTATTATTTTTATGGGAATTCTAGTGCTTTAATACAAAATGTCCATGGCGCTGCAATAGGAATTTGTTTTTATCTATTCTCAAAGACCAATACTGAACAGAAAAAATTACATTTTCAATTAAAATATCCATAGTTATTTAAAGTGACTTAAATCAGTCTTAAAATGAAAATAATGATTAACAAGTAGATGCAGTTGTTCTATAAATAAATGCCAGAAACATTTGGACTAAATTGCCTAGTTCAGGAATAGCCCATTTTATGTTGCTGGACTCAAGACACTCAGCTTTACTCCTCATTGAGCATGATAGCTAGGGCTTTTGGAAATAGTGGTTCAGTCATCTCTTAAAGTTCTCACAGTGTTCATCCCTTAGTTAGCTTCACTGTCCATACTGGAAACATCTAGATTACTCATGTGCAAATCCCTCGGTTGGAAAAAAAATAGAGTTCCAACAGTTTTTCAACCTGGCATTCTGTACATAATCTGGGACTGTAACTCCCAGCTATTATGACCTTTCACCCTGCTGATGAATAAGTCTAGGAATTTCAGTCCCAACTGGGTGGATAATTTGGAACGGTGGAAGTGGGAAAAAGAATTGGTGATTTGGTCCTCAAAATTACACATGATTTAGAGAATCCTGGCCATTGGAAACACCATCTTTGTGCAGAAAGCCTGAAGGAATTTTTGACGGAAAAATCTTTAAAAAGACACAGAAACACCAATGCTGTCATTTGTTTCATGATTGGTTACTTCAAGAAATAAAAAGTCATTAAGAGTTCCAGTGCAGTACTCTTTTTTGTTTAATCTTAATTTTAAAAAAAATCTAATTATGTCTTATTGCTCTTTTCCTTCCTTCTATTCTGCCAGATCAATTTGCATTCTGTCGTTATATGATTGACATGTTTGCACATGGGAATGTGTACACAGGTACTTGAAATGAATGCTGTCAATGAAGTGTTTGGTTTTTCTCAGAGCTTCTACTATTTTGTGCTCTTCAAACATCTCTCTGTGTGTTTGCGTGTGTGTGGGTGTTGTTAAACATGGGCACTGAGAGTGCACAGGTTAAATAAAGCATATTAACAAATGGCTTGATCCATTAAAGCTTCTAATAAATTGTTCTGTAGTTGCATGCATTTAAGTTAATGTCAATATAAAAAGATAAAATCAGTGGAGATTTGATAAAGAAGGAAGATACTTTTTTTTAGCAGATGGCATACTGATTGTTTGCATGATGCTTTTATGCCATGTAAAAGATTAAATATTTACTTGATGTAAGGCTTCATTTGTATTTTCTTAAGATAGAAAACATCAAAAGGCTGATTAAAAAAATCAAAAGCAAGGACAAGTATCTCATGGAAATATTTTGAACCAGTTGGAATTTTTAGGATAGAAAAAAGTGATTATGTGGGGGGGAATTATACTGATATATAATACACCCCCCTCCAAAAAAGTCCCAGGACATAGACAAAATTTCCTTTCTGTAGCGTTTGCTAAAGCTTTCTGACCATAACTGATGATAATTAACACCATCATGTCATCAATTTTGAAATGGGTAACAAGTGATAAAATTGTATTCAAAGCCAAAAATTAGAAATATAACGTTTTGAAAAATCCAAAAGAAACATCCAAATATCCCCCTTTGCAGCTCTGAAACTTGTGGCATTGTGATAATAAGGACATGATTGTTTCTGGGAGAAAAGGGGTATGGTGACTTGCTAAAACATCTTAGGAAATTAATTATAGTCAAGATAAATTATGAATTAATTTAAAGTGTGCGAAACTTTAAAGACATTCAAATCCTCTACGTAATAAATGTAGTGATTAGGTATGCTGCCTTTGGATCATGAACAACAGTTCATTTTTTCCACTGATCTTGATGAGATTCAAGGTTCTTTTAGGGAAAGGGATATAATTAGCAATGCCACTTGCCTAATGTTAAAATATGTTGTTCTGCCTCATGTAGGATGTACATCCACTTCCTCTTCTGACATGGCATTTCTTCCATATCTTTTCTTAGCATGCTATTTTCAAAACAAGCAGAAATGAATGTTTTTCTGAGTATTGCCAGTTTAATAAATCAAGAAGGTAAATGTATTGCTTTTGTACCTGGGCATTTTAAAATGAGTTGCTAATATTAAAAAATTCCTACAGAAATCTCTTTAAGGTTTGTTTCTCAATATTTATATTCTCAAAGAGAAAATAATTCAAAAGATGCAATGAAGTACATTTCTAAAAATGTAGTTCTTATCCCAACTAAGATAAAATAAAAGGACTTAAGCAAATTGTTTCTTATTGTTTAGAATGTCAAGACCAAACTCCAATCCACTTCTGAGATATTCTGACAGTTCCTACAACCATTAGCCAAATTAAGTAAGGCTGATAAGGGTTGAAGAATGCTAGAGGACAGCAGTTTATTTAACTCCACTATAAATAAAAGGTCTGCTGACCTAACCATTCACATGGTTTGGGTGGGAGGGCTATGCATGTTTTATAAACATAGAAATTGAGAAAATTGACCAAGCAATTAATCATGATGTGGTTATCGTTACCTAATTCCCACAGTCAATTAGCTCTATGAATCTGAGAGTTAATTGTCCCTTCTGACTTCTTTTATTGAGGCAAAGACCTAGAATTGTCCATGAAAATGTAACCTTACAGAGTCATAAAGTTGGAAGGGTCTGCTGTGGTCATATGGTTCAATGTCTTGCCTCTCTATATTCTTTGTGGCTATTTTGGTCTTTATCCTCCCTCAATTCTAATGGGTTTGAAAAAAGGGACAAAAATGGGAACAAATTGTTCCTTCTAAACTTGTCAATAGCAACTCTACCATCAATCATTGTGCCACCACAATTGAAGAAGGGGGAAAAAACAGGAAGTGGGCAGTAGATAATAGCCTCCTGGCCTTTTTGTAGTAGCTGCATGCTACTGCGTATTCTGAATAGTGTGCTGTTGTGTTGCTGCTGCACAAAGTTGAGGTAATTGGTTCTGTATTGCTTACATTTTAAAAGCAAATGAATGTGTTTTGGTAGAGTTCATTCACTAGATTCCAAAATGTAAATGATAACAATAGATCACAGTGAATAAAAATGTTTTTCATGGATTTTATAAAATCTCACACGCTGCCATGTACATAATTTAAGTTACTCTTTAGAATTCTTGTGAGCTCTAACTGTAAAATATATATTCCTGTTTTTCCATTCAGCAAATATAATTTTACTTTATGATGGCCAGTTATGTGTAGAAAATTCTTTCCGTTGTACTTCTACATGCAAAGGGTTTTGTAATATGCATAATGTTGTGCAGAACTGAGGAAAATGATACTTCATCTTTTACAATACTTCAGGTTCTAGAGATAAATCTGAAAAAACCTTTAAACTTGAAGTTGTTTGTAGATAATAACTTCACTAATTCTTGACCATCATTTTCATCTTCAAGATATTTATGTTTATTTTAGATGGAAGAAATTTTTAATTTCCTAGTGATACAAAATTCATTTTAACTTGTCAGTTGATCTTCTGATCAGTAAGAACAAGTCTCCATCTTGTTGCCAGTGCGTCAGGGCACAAAACTGTTGAACTTGCAGAAAAATAACCAGAGACTGTCCAACATGGGGAAAAAAATGGGTATCATGTTTCTCATTCATGAAGCCACTTGGTTCCTCATGTTTCTCATATGCCCATGACTCTTGCTTGAATCAGTCTATTTAGCAAGCATAAAATAAAAATTGGACACTGTTACTGCTTTTTTCTGAATATTTTCCATTTGAAGTGTTATTCCATACACATACCCAGTCAAGAACTAATAAATAGGTTTCTCAATGTAAGACAGTTCTATCCAAAAACACTGAGCTGAGTCAGATGTTCATTCTGTAGCCCTTGTCAGCTTGGACAAGGTGTAAGCCCAGGAAAAATTTCAATTACCCCTTGTGTCTGTTGGTAACCACCCATTAAATTACTTCAAATGTTTTCCATACTTAGCCCATTCTCTTGCAATCTATAGAACATTTAATATACCAAAAAAAAAATGAATATTTATCTTCCAGGATTGCAACTTTCCTGCACATAGATCTGCTTTGACACATTGATCTAGACTGCAATCTTATCTATACCCACTCAAGAGTAAGTTTCACTGAGTTTAATAGGGTTTATTCCAAAGAAAATTAATCAAATATTTAAGCCATTACAGATAGGCCTCGACTTGTGACCATAGTTGTGCCCAAAATTTATGTTGTTAAATGAGACATTTGTTAAATGAGTTTTGCCTCATTTTACGACCACAGTTGTCACAATTGTTAAGTGAATCACTGCAGTTGATAAGTTAGTAACATGGTTATTAAGTGAATCTGGCTTCCCCATTGATTTTGCTGATCATGACCTTGGGAGACAGCAACAGTCATAAGTGTGAACCAGTTGCCAAGCATCTGAACTTTGATGACATGATCAAGGGGATGCTACAAAGGTTGTAAGTGTGGAAAACGGTAATATGTCACTTTTTTCAGTGCCGTTGTAACTTTGAACAGTCACTAAATGAACTATTGTAAAGCGAGGACTACCTGTACACATGAGGCAGCACTTGGGGATGAAGTTCCAAATGGCAGCAGAAAAAGGCCATGTCCTAGGTCCCCTCTTAGCAAACAGGACCTCCACAATGCCTCTCCTGGCAAATCAGATGGAACAGGTAGCTGTCATCAGAGAGAGGACATCCTCAGATAACCTGGCTCCATGCCTTGTAGCACTTTCAAGGACAAAACCAGTACCTTGAATGGTTATCTGGAAACAAATGGGAAACCAGTGCAGCTCTCGAAAAGAGGTATAATGTGTGTCCTTTCAAGGACATATATCACTGCCCGTGTTACTGCATTTCGCACCAGGGCAGCCCCGTGTAGAATTCATTACAGTAATTCATTTGGGAGGTGACCAGCATATGAGTGACTGTGAGCAAAGCCCCATCATCCAGGAATGGGCACACCTAGCACACAACACAAAGATACACAAAGGGAGGAGAAATTCAAAACAAATGGAGAAATTATGAGAACACACATAAATGTCTCTGATTTGGCAGTCAGCTGTAGAAAACAGCTGAAATGAATTTATAGATAGAAACAAATGAGACTAAGCATAACTAAAATGGAAATACTCTCCTTCTGCTACTCAACTACATGCCTTCCTTTAATTATGCACCATGCTTTAATTATGCATCTGTGGGGAATTTTAAAAAAAATTTAAGTATGGAGGGAGCAATATTCATTAAGACCACAGTACATGGGGAGGGGAAGTTTAATTCTATCAAAATTGCCCTCCTGCTGTAATTAGCAATAGGGAAACAAGTTCTCACTAGTGCCATTGAGAGCCTTTTCTAGTTTAAATTGCAGTGCTTGGAGTAGTTTTTATCGGGATAATGACTGGAGAAAAAGAATTACATTTGTCCTCCCCCTATCCACATTAATTTTTTTTAATTTCCTGAATTGCTTGAAAGACACTGAATTAACTCAATCACTGTTGCTCAGCCTATTCTACCTAGGTGATTGCTATGAAGATAAAATATGGGTGATATTATCCTGGCACCATGGAGGAAAGATAGGATATGTATTGCTAATTGCACATCAATAAAGAGGGATAACAAGGAAATGATTTGCTTTGCAATTTAATGCAATGTTATTGAATTCTGCCCTTTGAACCATTATGTGAAACGTGTTTTCATTTTGGTATTCACTTTCCTGAATTGTGTTATGCTTTTCCCAAAGAAAAGTTACATACAGGAATTTACATAACTGTTATATCTATGCTGTGTCTATTTAGTTTTCAGCTGAGCAGGAAACCCCCACTTAACAATCAAATGTCATCCAATATTGATGGCAAAAATTATATATATTAGATACCATAGTTGGCTTTATGAACAATTGTGTATAAAACTGCATATGTGATAAT